GCCCAAACATATCATGTCTGGCGTATTTTCAGTTGATAGTATAATGTTATGATAGTGCATCTTATGTTAGATAAAAGCATCAAACTGAAAATTCCAATACAAAAGCTTACATGGTATATATTTGCATCTATATTGATGTATCGTGACAAGCCAAAAGAGGCCAAGAGCGTCTGGATAATTACCTGGTAAGCATCATAAAGACTAGGACGGATAAGTTCAGCCATGCTTCCATCAATCACAATAAAGTTTTTAGATCCATTGGTTTTGACACTTGTCACCCTGTTAACTAAGCAACAAGTGTTGGCAATAAGTGATCTCCCTGGTTCAATGATAAGATTAAGATCCCAGGGAAGAACAAGCTCCCTTACCTATTTCAACCATGAATGGGAAAATATTAATTGGCAGGAACACTATGAAAGTGTACAATTAAAGAAAAGTATACTGCATCTTGCTTGTGAAAAGAATTTAGATGAAGAGGTGGTAGAACATGTATAATTCTGTGAAATTATCTAGCAATGCTAGGAAGCAGCAGATTTTCCTGTATTTGTCTCAAACTTACACACATATATGCACACATCTTTTCTAGTAACGTATTCAATATCACATGTGGAACCTAAATAAGTAAATAAATACCACATACAATCTTGAAGTAAATAATACATATTACAAATCACATCGAGACAATGAATATGAACTACAGACTAATCACAAATAACAAGTGTTTACCAAAGACCTTTATCAGCCACTAGTAACTAGTGATAAGCCCTTTGACTGTAAGGAAATTAACCAGAAAGCAGATAACTGATAAGATTGCCATTGACAACCAACATGTGTCTGAAAAGATGGCAGTAATCTAGTTTCAAACACCGAACACTATACGTTTATGTAATTTGTGCAAATGCTATAATTCTCAAAGGGCTTAGTTTCCACACGTTGCAGCTTCTTAAATGCTGCATTTAATAATACACATTGCAGTATCAAGAATGCCCATTCATCAGCCACTAGTGATTCCTTATTCTTTCTTACAAGAAATTGCAAACATAATACATAATCATATAAGTCATGGGAAGATGAAGTGAGATACATGAGCTCAAATCCTTACAGTGTCAATTAGATCTCTGGGTGTAGGAAGGACGGCCCGGAATGATGATAATCTATCCCGAGTCCACCACCAATATTCAAGTAATCAACTTCAAAACCCTGAGCTCGGATTTGGTCAATGTAGTTGACCATAATAATGGCAGCATCCCTGAAAATGTCTACCTGAAGAAAAAAAATAAAAAGCAACAATGTTTTTGATTTTGATAGATATTATGAATCAACATAAAACAATCCAAATTGACAAGGAAAAACTATCCAACAAAAAAGAGTCCACAGTTACTCTAGAAAGCATGATCAAGCAGAATAAAGTAGACAGAGGATGAAAGAGGAGCAACTAGGTTTGATGCTCAGTCCACTAGGTTAGCAATAATAAATCGATTATTGTTATGCTCAGTCCAGATTTATTTGATCCAGGTTGAAACAGGAGAAGATGAAATAAGAAGAAACATACAAAGATTTTGAGAATATACCTTGGCAATTGTTGATCCAAGATGGCAGTGAGCCCCTACTAGCTTTAACTCATTAGGATGCTCCTTTACAGCATCTAGAAACCACTGCAGTTTCTCATTTCTGATGCCAAATTTTGAGTTCTTATTCCCTGTTGCAACATAAGGGTGGACCTAAGAATAACAAAGATCAAATTTTGTTAGAAATTTCCATCATAAATATTTTATGAAAATGAAGATTAGACTTTAGAGTTGGAAACTTGAAGGTATTGAATTGGGCAAAGACAAATCAGTCAGCCACAAGACTCACAACTAGTTAATAAAGTTTTGGTGACAATGAAGGTCATGTTTTAGTCATGGTTAAATAGGAATAGCAAAGAAGGAATCCACTGTTACTAGTGAAATGGAGGATATTACAATGTCAGTGGAAGAGAGAAAAATAATAATAATAGCAAAACATCAGGAGGATTTGGTCATAACAAGGCCCATTCATAGTAGAAAAATAATAGCCAAACTTTGTATTTCATGTCAATGCCCATTCATAACAAGTTTTAAAATTCAAAAATCCAAGTAGCCAAAATTTAATTTTAGTAGAAATAAAACATGTAAGTTTTATAGGAGCATTCTTCTGTATGTGTCATCACTTCAGTTGTGTATCAATTAGCTAAACTTGAAAAGACATCAACATCTCATCCGTAAAAATTGCTAAGGGCCATGAATGAACACATGCAACACGTATAGACTTTGTAATTCATGAAGCAAATTCTAACAATATTATATACCTGTGGATCCACATCAGGATTAATCCGAAGTAAAACATTCACCCTCTTTCGAGCAATTCTTGCAGCTGCTACAATGTTTTCCAAGTCAAATTCACTATCAACGTTGACGAAAACACCTTCTTTGGCAGCCAAGACCAAATCCTCTAAGATTTTTCCATTCCCATTAAAGATACACCTATTCATCAATGACCCACAAATGCACTAAGAATCACACATTTTTTTAAGAAAAGAAAAGAATTATTAATAACAAGTTAAAAGAAATGCCAAACAATATAATTTTGAATCAAAGCTAAGCAAGTTAGATGGCAGATCTACATATTCATGAAGCGTATCAAGTGAAAGCATGTTCTCGTGAGAGAAGCTAATCTTGATCATACAATCATAATGGATGGTCAAAATTGACTCATCCCATCTCTCACTAGACATCCCCCTCCACAAACATATACACATATATAATGCTGGGAAGCATATCAGATGTGAGATGACAGCATGAGAGGAGCAGATATTGGCCATAGAATGAAAAAAGACGGTGGAGATTAGATTTAAGTAAAACAATGTTGACCATTTATGTATAGTAGTAGCATCGTCAAGATGAACTTCTCTTACCTCTCACTGTATACACCCCCATAATAGTTGTGCCAGGGCATAAAGGATCCTAAAAACTACACAAATAGATTGATACGTGTAGACATATTCTAGGGCTAAGTGTAATTCAACCTTGTGGGATCAAACCCAGCACGAAGAGCCAGTCTAAGCTCATTCCCACTTACAAATACAAGCACAGCACCACAACCCAACTGCCTCAAGTGCTCCAGAATCTTCAAATTATTGTTGGCCTTGATGGCATAACCGATTATAGACCTCAAACCCTCCAAAGCATCCTTATACGTTTCCACATTTCTAGTAATCTGAGGTTTACTGTACAAGTAGAAAGGTCTTCTTTTAACAGATTCCATAATTTCATTCACTTTAAGGCCCTCACAGTACAGAAACATCTTCACCCTTGGTGAAAACAGTGCTGAAAACAAGTCTTAGTATTGGAGTCATGAATTGAGGGGTTAGCAGTAATCTTCTGGGAGAGAACTGCCCTAAGAATCCTTGGTTTAATGTTAGCTTTGAGAGGTAGAATTAGGTGATTAAAGGTTTTGGAAAGGGAAGGAGAATTATAAATGATGTGTGAGGCTGCCATTGAAGTGTGGTAATGGTAATAATGCTCCTGAAAAACAACTGAACTTATTAATCTCAATTATCTACCGTTATTGCTATAAATAAATAATCATAAATCTAAGTTATTCAGAGCATCAACAGTTTCTTTAGTTGCTTGAGTGTATTGAAGGAATAACATGATAAAAACATAACTAAGGCAACAACAATGGAGGGACGTTGTGAAAACAAAGGGTGTCATACACTACACACATTGATTTGATACAAAATAACAGAAGCAATATCAAATAATGAAAAGGCTATGAAAGTGATCGATAAAAGAGAGCTCTAACCAAAAGGGAAGTTCAAAGCCACAAAACAGGAACAGATGCAAGGTAAAGTCCCAGATCAACTTCAACCCCCTCAGCTACGTTGTCAGTTCATTTCTCCAACGTTTTTGAAACAACCAATTTGAACAATTTTAAAAAATAAAATAAAATCGACATGTAATTAAAACAAAAGGGGTCATAATGGCCCATCAAATTGGACTGGCCTATTTTCTTAAAAGTATAACTGGTGTGGTTAACAGAAGATATAAAAATAACAAAAATAAAATAAAATACCAGTTCATATGAATGACGCAGCAAAGTTCCATAAAAACTTACATTAAAAAATAAACTTCCATATCCGTGCAAGCGTTGCACGTGATAAAAAGAGATTGTGTAGTTCACGTGACATCATGACCCTCCATGCTAAAGCAGTTGAATATTACTTTATTTGAATATTTATAAGTGAATCAGTTTTTCTATTTAAATTGTTATAAACTAACATTATATATAATTATTTTTATTTTTATGTACATATAGTTCAAAAATATACTCTTATGTACAAAAAAAAAAATCTCATATGTAAATTTATTTAGTTATAATGAGTGAAATCATTAAGATACTACATAATTTTTCAGACAAGTTTATCCTGACTTCAAGACTTTAATTTCACACTTTACACTTTTAAAAATATATTATAAATTTTATTTTTCAATTTTTGCAAAAAACCATAATTTCAATATTTTAAACGAGAATTTAAATACACTTGTTGATATTTATGCACGTGAAAGGTATTGAATAGAAGATATATGTTGTATCCTGAGAATATAAAAATGGATTTCCTTTTTTAATTATGTTATCGCAAATGATGATGTGGCTTTTGTGCGAGAGACAAGAGGTGTGATATGGATTTTCATGGGATGAAAATGAAACTTAAATGTCAAGTGTTTATATATAGTAATCATGAGGAGGAGGGATATGTCATATATAATATGCATATGATTGCACAACCATGTCTTTCGCTTCTTTCAGTTATCATCTGCATTAGACTCGCTACATGTTTGTATTGTGGACCATAATCACAATGCATCAACTGCACTCTGCTCTCATCTTTCACTCCACAACTTCTCCAATCTTTCTCCTCTACTACTCTCTCACATGCTTTCCATTTGTTCTTTCTATTCTTCATACATCACCCACAAATGGCTTTCATGAGGCTTGGATCAAAATCAGATGCATTTCATCGTGAGGGCCAAACATGGTAAATATTTTATTTTCAAAATCATATCAATATATTGTTCCAAGGGGTTTGTGAATCATGATGGATTTTTTTAATTATTTAAGTTTTTTGATTTGTAAGAACTTTCTTGCTAAAAAAAAGATGGGAGGCTTCCTATTATTTATTTTTATTCATCTGCAATGTCGGATGATTTATCTTTAGTGATTTTAGAATAAAAATGTAGAGATTGTCCCGTCTCAACTCATAGGTGTTCTGGATACAAGTCAAATCACTACATCATGAAGTCTGTGGTACAACTTCTATGCCCAACAATGAGGAAATTAAAAGTGGGGCATGTCATGCTAAAAGCATATCACTACCTTATTTACTGGGATAAAAGGGAAAAAAAAATTAATTGGCCCTTCTCAAAATTTAAGGGAAGTTGGGATTTGGGAAAATGTCAATTATTGATTTTTTTTCAGACATGAAGTACACTTGCTCAAAAGAAAAGACAGGAAAATAATATCGAAGCTGGTTGAGGATTCAAGGTGTTATAATTCCAATGTTTGCATTATAATCAATGACTGATATATAATTAAAGTCCTACATTACTAATTTGACTTTATTAAAACACAGTTGCAAACTACAGAACAAACATCAAAGAAATTAACTTCATAGAATTATCATACACTCCTATTTTGGATTCCTCCTTTACTCAAGCATTTACACCTGTGAGGCCAATGCTTCTTTATATTGAACCACTGATTAGTGATTATCCTTCTTGGACGTTGATATTAATTTTTTTTTAATTCCAGGCATTGCACAACCGGGCTTCCAAGTGATGTTATTGTTGAAATAGGCGAAACATCATTTTGCCTCCACAAGGTGCATGTTTGAATTGAACTTTTGTTAAAAATGATTTTTTTATGTATGCAGTAACTGTCTAGGACTTGTTATTTTTATTCTTCCCCTTCTATCTTTGTCGGTCTCTACCAAGTGTAGACCTCAACTGTGCATTCATGCTCATGCTGGACCTTGTGTTTTGTTTTTGCATCAATGATTTTGATGATGCAGTTTCCATTGCTTTCTAGAAGTGGATTACTGAAGAAACTCATTGCTGACTTCTCAAACGAGGAAGGATCAAGTTGTGTTTTGCAACTTGATGATGTGCCTGGTGGGGACAAAACATTTGAGCTTGTAACCAAGTTTTGCTATGGTGTGAAAATAGAAGTCACAGCATCAAATGTGGTGAGTCTAAGATGTGCAGCAGAATACCTACAAATGAACGAAAATTATGGTGAAGGGAACCTAATTTCAAGGACAGAAGCTTTTCTCAATGAAGTTTTCAGCAATTGGTTAGACTCCATAAAAGCACTTCAAACATGTGAGGAAGTTAAACCTTATGCAGAAGAGCTGCATATTGTTTCAAGATGCATTGATTCCTTGACCATGAAGGTATGTTCTGATACCAACATGTTCAATAGGCCTGTGGCAGGACATGATTGCTCCCAAAACCCAACTATATGGAATGGAATTTCTTCTGAGACTAAATCACCACCTTCAGGTGATGAATGGTGGTATGAGGATTTGTCTTTGTTAAGCTTACCCTTATATAAAAGACTTATTTTATCCATTGAAGCAAAGGGTATGAAAACTGAGAATGTTGCTGCATCCCTCGTATATTATATTAGGAAGTTTGTCCCCTTTATGAATAGGCAATCAAGCTTCAATGATAAAAATAGTGTCAACCCCGGGACAACCACTAATGCAATTTCTGAAGCAGATCAAAGGGCATTGCTTGAAGAAATTATGGGCTTGCTTCCTAATAAAAAAGGAGTCACACCCTCCAAGTATCTCCTTAGGTTGCTAAGAACAGCCATGATATTGCATGCAAGTGCATCATGCATTGAAAATTTGGAGAAAAGAATTGGGTTACAACTTGACCAAGCTGAGCTTGTGGATCTTCTCATTCCAAACATGGGGTACTCGGTTGAGACCCTTTATGATATAGACTGCATTCAGAGGATTATTGATCATTTTATTTCTATATACCAGCCTGCAACTGCATCAACTTCTCCATGCATAACTGAAGAGGGGCCGTTGATGCCTGGGGCTGATGCACTTTCACCTATGACAATGGTAGCAAATTTGATAGACTCGTATCTTGCTGAGGTGGCTCTAGATGTTAATTTAAAGTTGCCTAAGTTCCAGGCCCTTGCTTCTGCAATTCCAGATTATGCTAGGCCACTTGAAGATGATTTATATCATGCAATAGATGTATATCTTAAGGTAAGATCATGCTGGAAGCCTAGCTTGCGCAAAAGTTTGTTTCTTTGCTCTCTTGTGTAATGTTTCCAGTTAACCAGAAGTTGTGTGACATATAATTGTTTTGATTAGAGAAGTCCCTAAATATTGTTCGGAAAAAAAAAAGACAGTGAAATTTCTGAAAAAATATGATACTTCTGGTTTTAAGTTTGGAATTAATGATATGAAACTTGAAAGTTATCATTGCCTTGTTCATAGCTAAATAGAGAAAGATAAGATTCCAACCTACTTATTAGAGAAAGGGATGATCAGTGCTTAAGAAAGTCTATTAGTTAAAATGAAAGAACCAATAGTGAAAACACCTATAAGTTTTTACTACCCCTGTTCCCATTTATCTGTCTGGAGAGAAGAAATTACATAGACTAAGAAATCCAATCATTCTGTTGGAATTAATGGCTCAACATCTTAATTTATCCTTTATTAATAGATTTTCTTTTGACTCTTAGACTACTCAAACAGTATAAATATCTAATATAGACAAAAGGTTACATTATTAGTGGAAGAGTAATAATTAATAACGTCTTGAACTTTTTTACATGGAAAAATAAATAAGAACAATTTTTTTATTCTCTTTCTGGACATATAAATAATAACAAGAAGTAGTATTTCTTGGTGACAAAACCTCACAATCAATTACAATGTCAGTGGTATTCTTTTCTTTTTATGTCTCAATTTGATAATTCTAACGTAACACATTCATGACAATCTGATAATTCTAATGTAACACATTTATGACAAGTACAGGCACATCCTTGGCTCATAGATTCAGAGAGGGAGCAATTTTGTAGGCTAATGAACTGCCAAAAACTCTCATTAGAAGCAAGCACTCATGCAGCACAAAATGAAAGATTACCACTGAGAGTAATTGTTCAAGTCCTCTTTTTTGAACAGCTTCGACTCCGCACATCAATTTCTAGCTGGTTGTTTGTCTCAGAGGGTCTTGAGAACTCACACAACCCCAGTGGAAATCTTGGCCTCCCAAGGAATGATGGCACTTCTCAACTACACTCTACAGAGGGTGCTGAAAACTTGAGAGACCGTGTCTCAGAGCTAGAGAAAGAGTGTTCGTGTATCAGGAAGGATCTTCAAAAGCTGGCTAAAGCAAAGAAAAGTTGGAGCCTTTTCCCAAGAATCTTCTTTAGAAAAAAGGCATAGTCTTTCTGTTTCACTAATCCAATAGAATCAAATGGCTGCAATATAAGTACACGAACTTCCATGTCTATATATGAATGGAAAACCAAATCTTTAGCTTTGTTAAGGTTCAATGAAAATCATAACTCAAGTGTGGAGATCATGCTCAGTTCATCTTCCATTTTTCCTTAATTGAAAGCAGTGATTTTTTAGTTGATAACTAACATCCTTTTTTGTTATACTCTTTTATTATCTTTCTGATAGAACATAGTATAAATAACTCCATCTTCCATCTTCCATCTTCCATGTGATATCTTGTTTTACTCCACTCACCGATCTTTTAAGATTAAATAACTCTATCTTAAATAAATTAATGATATGTTATTATAAAAAATTAATTTAAAATTGATACAATTTCTATTATAACATTTAAACTTCGTTTGTTTGCTTAAAATGGAGTTATTTACTTTATAAGGTGATTTACAGAAATTTGCTTCTTATTAATTTATGAAGTATTAAATAAAAAAAGTGTGTATTTATTATCTTAAAAATATATTTCATAATTTATTTATTTGATACTACTTTTCTAGTCTTACTTAAAAAAAAAAAGCAATTAATTCATTAATATCAATAAAAATAGTAACATAAAATAAATATTAATATTATTCCAAAAATGTTATTCTATTATATGACTAAGTTGGTGAGTTGCATGAAAAATAAGTGAATGCTTAATTAACATAACTTTATAGTAAATTAAGTATAAAAGAAATTTAATAATATATTTAAAAATAAGTTTTTATTTTTTATAATTAAATTTTGTCAATTTTTTTATAAATAAGATCAGAGGAAGTAATCAAAAATATTATAAACCTAAAAGTTAGAATGATTTAAAATTTTTCTTAATAAAAAATAAATAATATTTTTTTATTGTGTAAAAACGTTATCTGTACATCAAAATGTTTTGATATAATAACTATACCACATTGATAATCTCTTGCCTTTTATATTTAAGGTTAGGCAAGTTTTGTAATTTGTTTCTATTAATTTTATTATTTATTTGGTGTTTTTTTTGTTTTATTTGATTTTAATTTGATTATTTTATCAATTATAGCAACAAAAAGATACTATAATTAACAAAACAATAATCATTTATAGTGATTAAACATATTCATAATTAACAAATATGATCAAATTAAAATCAAACAAAATATAAAAGGCTAAATAAAGCCAAAATTTTTGTTCTGCCTAGTGTTTACTATACATATGTATTTCATCTATTGTTGAAATATCAATCAAAATTTACTTACATTCTTAATAATTAAAAAAAAACACGCCTGAAAAACAACAAATTTATTTTATTCTTAAGGTTGTAATTATAAGAGTTTACTTAAATTTTTATAAAAAGAGATGTATGTAGCAAACACAACGTACATGTGAAAAAGAATGTTGGGTTCTACCCTCACCCTCAATGAATGTTTAAATTATATTTTATTCTCTTTTAATTTTAAAATTATATATCTTTTCCACCATAGTTAACGTGTGTCATACTTTAATATATTTTGAAATAAACAAATATCTTAACAATGAGTCAATGAAAAATTATTACAAATGACCTTTTTTCAAAAATTAAAAAAAAAATAATGTTATTGACAACATTTAATGTCATTTGTAGCTAATTTTGAACACAATTGCTGATTTTAGTACTGTAGAAGACGGGGAAATTTTTTTTTTCAGAACACAAAATTAAGTTTTAAACATATGTGCTATCAACTTTAAAATTTTACCCATATTTTTTATTTCATCTTCTAATTTTCAAAGTTGATTGTATGGGTTGAAAGCTAGATATCAATTAAGAATAACAAGGAGAGCAAAAAATATATCTGTAAGAAGCCTACATATTTTAAAATTAACTGAAGTGTAATTTATATTAACTGAAGCCTAGAGGAAAGTATAATTTTAAAATCAAAAGAAATTACAATATGTTTAAGCATCACTCAAAAATAAAAATGTAATTTATTCAATAATTTCTTTTACAAGCATAGTTTTTAAGAAGGTGGATCAAATTTGTTGGTTGGATTACAAATTAGTCAAATCATCGGTCTCAATAACTTAAAAATTTTATGGAATAAAAAATTTATTAAAAAATTAGTTAAATCAGTTAAGAATTAACTAAGATAGGTATAAAACCTAGTGGTAACAAATCAATTTGAATTAGTATTTTACAGTAGAAAAATTCTTTTTTATTTTAAAATATTTCTAAAGAAACAAAGACTGATACAGGTTTATGTATAAATTCTTATTGAACTCTATTATATTTTTTTATTGTGTAAAATATGTAATATAAATTTTATATTAATTAAAGTTTATGAAACTTAATTTTGTTACAATATATGTTACTTTATTACTTATTTATTGCATAATATTAAGAAAATATGTTTACTAATTATTGATTGTGACTCATAAATCAATAATTGTATTGGTTAAATAATCAATTTAGGTTTGAAAACATTGTTTAAAAGTAAACATAATGAGTTCCTCTTTTTTTATTGGCATAATTAGAGATTAACATAGGTTCGAGTGGACAGAAAAATCTAAAAATCCTAATTGAATTGGTTAAAGACTTTCTAAGCTCGATTAGTTTAGATTAATTTTGAGTTGGTAACCCATCTTAAAAGCCTATTTAGAAATCACTTGCAGTATGTTAAAACTCTATTGCACACTTCCTAAGGCATCTAAAATTGGCTTTTTTGCTGAAGGAAAAATTTATCATTTCTTGCTGAACGGAAGTCTTAGAGAGAAATTTAAAAGGTTAACTTCTGAAAATATTTTTATAAAAAAAATTAGTATAAAAAATAAATAATTTTTTTCATAAATTAAAAATAACTTATCTATTTTATTCAAATTTTAGAGAAGTTAAATGAGGAAATTTATTAAAACTTCTCTTATATTTTTAACTTATAAAAGAAATTTATACTATTTTTTTTATAAGAACTTCTAAAAATTTATTCAAATTAGGCCTAAATTGATTCAAACCTGTTTTTTTTAATTATTTTTTATTTTATTTTATTTTATATTGAATAGGCTTTCTAATGAACATTTTTTGACTTGATAACTTAATCCAAATTCTTTTAATTAATTTATAATTAATATTTTTCAAATTCAATTAAACTCAATTCTCCCTAAACATAATGATTTACAATTTATATCATCTAAAGACAACAATTACTCAATATATTTTTCCTTTTCAGTGATTTGACATTTTTAGAATTTTATATAAGTATCATTATTCTAATAAACAATAATACATGTCCCACTAAGGTTTCTTGGAAGGTAGGTAAACGAAAGAAACATGTTTGGATGGAATTTTCAAACGTAATCGATGATTTAATGAATTTGGCTGTCTTGTTTGGTTGCCAAGACATTCATTTTGTGTCCTTCAATGTCCAAAACATCCGTTTTGCTGTCATTATTTTTTATAATGACTTCTGCTACCTGCTCAAGGAATAGTTGTGCAAAATAAATCAATAAAATAAAGCATGTTTATTTTAGTTTTGGAACACGACCTTTTTTTCCATTTTTCTTATTTTTATTTATTCAACTATAGAAAACTTTTTAATTTTTGAATTAGTAATTAATATCTCGTATGTTATATAAATACATGTGAAGTATAAACAAATATAAATTAAATATATATTAGAGATAGATAAGTATTATTTTACTAGTAATTAAAGAATAAATTAAACTACATGCATTTAAAGAATTTCATTTAAAAAAATAAAAACTACATTAATTAATAGAATATCATTTAAAGGGTAACTTATAAACAAAGAAATAAAAAAGTAAAAACTAATTTAATTAAATAACATGAAAATAAATATTAAATATTTTGATAAGAAAATTTTAAAAAAATTATTTTAGAAAATAAACAAAAATAGAGACACATCAACAAAACTGAAAATACGTATTTAAATTAAATAAATTTTATGGTATAAAATGAGAAGTACTGAACAATTAAGACTATTAATTTTATATTAATAAATAATATAGTTAGTATTTTATTTGAAAAAGATATAAATATATTTTAATTTTTAATATATTAAAAAATCATAACTCTTAATTTAAAAAAGGTATACAATATTCTTCAAGTTTAGAAATATTAAATACTTTTAAATTATTTTATTTTAAAAAATGATTGAATTTTTCATTTGAAAGTGAACTGAGGGGAGAAAAAAATCTTGAAGTACATGTAATTTCTCTTTAGAAATCTCAATTCATCACCATCAATAATATTTGAAAAATAAAGCAAAGTATTTCGTTGTTCATGATAAAAATAGTGCCACCATAATTAAAAAATGTAAGAGTATGCCCTGGGCTTTATTGCCTATTACATTTTTAGCCCCACAGTTCTTCCTAGTTTAATTCAAAATAGTTCTAGTACCAAAAGAGAAAATCCCATTAAATAACTCTATTATTGTTGGATCCGAAAGAAAATAAGTGTTCATCTACCACTTCCCATAATGATTAAAGTGATAAAAAAGTGTGAAAATCAAAATGTTTTTTTTTTTTCAAGATTTGACCTGCCTATTTTTTTTAAAAAAAAATCAGAATTCACGAATGTCTCAAGGCCCATATGGTCCAAGACTAATTATTGCTTGTGGTTTGTGAATATCAAAATTTTACATGTAAAATATATTACCAAATAAATCAAACACATGGATGCGAATGTAAAAACACTTTACACCAGTGTTAACCCTTCAAGTTTGACTTATCTATTTAGATTTGAGTTAGACAATATCAATAAAAGTGACAAAACTCTTTTTAATCAAATTTTAAGGCAACTGTATTTTCTAACTCAAATACAAAACTATTTATTAAATTTGCAAAAATCATTTAGCTAGATGGGTTGGTTTTATTAAAGTTTTGTAATTTCTGCTCTTTAGTTATTTAAAGATTGATATTTTCTTTCAAAATAAAAATTTAACAAAAATCCCATTAAAAAAATGAAAATATATGAAACTTACCAAAATATTCATTTAATTCTTCCGCCATAAATTACTAATGAATTATTGAATAGATTAATAATCAACATAATATCCATCTAAAATTTGTATATAAAAGGAAACAGAGTTTGTGTGCTTTACGATGCAAATATGTGAGAAATTTTCAATTTCTTAATAACGGAGATACGAAGTTTAAAAAATTGAGCCCACAGTCACAATGATAAATTCAGGTTTTAATTTGAATTTGAATTCAAAAATTGATTCGAAAAAAAAGTAATGAGCTCACCCTCACTTTGCGGGATACTAATAATGAAGTCAATTTTTTTTAATAATTATTACTTATTTGGGATTGGGTACAAGAATGATTTTTCTATACTCATCGTACAACAATGAAAAAAGTTTAATTTCTGAACAACTTGAGAAAATGTAACACTTAAATTTACAGCCATTAATCATTATAGTAAGATGTCAACTACAAATCAACACGTGACTTTTCATCAAAATAAGACGGGCCATGATTCTGTTAACAGAAAAAGATAAATGACAGGCGAAAAGAAAGAATAATTCTGACATTTTTAGACAATTTCAATTGCAGATTCAAAAGCTTCTTAATTTCTGTATATGGTGAAGCATGTAGATAAGATCGACATTTGATGTGGAAAACTCCCCTACCCATCATCATACAGTAACATTGATCAAGAAGTGTCCTATGTAGAATGAAAGTTTGACAATGTTGTGCCAGAACCAGTCCTTTTAACTTCAGAAAATGAATGCTAGCCATAATATCCAAACCATGTTACTTGACATAAAAATAGTCCTTGAAAGGTGCTCCACAGGTTAGTGGTCCAAGATGGGGATGTTTGCCAAAACTTGCACTGCATAAAGCACAGTAAACCTTTTATACTTTAGTTATTAGCCAATACTTGATTTCCAAATTACAAGACAAGTAGAGTGGTATGGAGAAAGCAACTTACTTCTCACACTATTTTCTTCCCATTTTCACTCTGCTTATGGATGAACAGTAACAAGTGCTTAACAAGGTTGATCCAGTTGATAAATATTGAATTCACATTTTTATAAGAATGCGAGTTCAAATTTCATTGTTGATGTAGATCTTATTGGTGAGTGATCTGTAAGTATCTCTGTGAGCCTTAAAACATGTTCTAACCCTAATGAGTCCCCACTACCCAACTCCTCTTAACTATTAGTAACAAAAAAATGAATAGTAATAACTTATAGTTTGTTTCCTTCAATATGAAATCTAGTCATCAAAGTTACTATTAAATGACTTAATTCAAACCTTTTACAGTAAAAGATTTAAAAGGAAGAAAAAGGAAAAAACACTGCAGGGGGCTTGATCTTGTGTATTTTGTCAATGCCTCCTCTATTTCATAAATCACAATGATGAAAATATCTTTCTACAAAGTTGTTTCTAAATACCAAGATTTTCTAAAGGATTTATCAAAGGCTTATAATCTTACCTTGGTGGTTCCTGTTTCCTTTGGTTCCTCATTGCCATGCCATGTTTCAGCAATATTTCAAAGCACTGCATCATATATGATTACTATGAAAACCACTCAGAGCTTCTGGAATTATCTCCTGACCAACAGACCCAACTGTACGAAGCAGTTCATTCAACCACTGGCAATCGATAGATGATAACGGGACCAACCCATGGGTTATCATATTGTCCTAAGATCTTTGCATGTGGCACATGATCCTTAACTTTTAGTATGAATCCAATGTGGCCCTCAGTAACACATGGCAATGTCACATTGCTGGCTAACTGAGGGGCCTACAAGGTGAAATATCTTCTCCCCCCCCCCCCCCCCCCCTCTTTTAGGTATATTCTGGGAAAATTTTATAGGTATGCCTATGCTATCATTTTAAGGTTATGAATCATGTTAAAAATGTCATTGTCTCTAAAGAATGTCTTTACACAAAATTGTTGAATAATGTGTATGATATGGTAAACAGTGCCTACCTGAGTTTTTTTTTTTACTTTGGAGTTAAATTTTGGTATGCACAGTTTGCTTTTGTTCAGCTGAGTGAGAGAATGCAATCCAAACCGGCATTGAATTGTTTCTTGGTCGGGTCAGTCTCTTGTATATATGTTGTCTTTTAGCAAACCAAGACTTAATTGAACTCTAAAACCAACTCCTTCAAGAACATGTCTGTTGCATAATTTCTCCCGTTCTTAATTATTAATTAACACTAACACTCTATTTAAGCTGGACCATAGTCTGTTTATTACCACCACCACGCACCAATCATGTCATGTATTGTGATATCTATTTATCTTTATTAAGTGGTTTTGTGTGTTTGCTAATTTGCTCGGGCAAATAACAGTAGAAATTTCAGTAAAGGCATTAGAATATAGAGTCAATGGTACATTGAAGACCATTTAAACGTAAAATTAGTTGACATTGAGTAATAAGTTCAGAAGCCCCTAGTACTTACAACTTAAAAGGAAATCAGTTTCACAAGAAGGGAAGAAAGTAATTTCACATATTCAGGTCAATCCCAGTACTTTACAAAAGAAATTTCTTTTCTGAAAAAAGGGAAAAACAAAAAACAGAATACTGATATTCCACACTAGCTTCTTTCACCTCCAAAATTCTATCTAATCTCATCTTCCATTAACATGAAGCAAACTCAGCTACCTTGAGATGTCATACTCTTCAGGATAAGCAAGCTCTTGTTCCATCTGCCAGCTTAACTTAGAAGCAACACTTTCGTGACAGGGAACATAATCCTGTGAATTAAACATTAAAAAAATCATTTTGAGGTATCCTGAAGAAGAAAAGTGATTGCATAAACAACTATCTTTTATTATAGAAATGTGCTTAGTGTTTATTGATGTCATCCTATGAAAATTACCTCCAATTTCTTTACTAACTCTTTTGATGTTGGTGCTGATACAATTATGTGACGGGCATTAGGACTAATAAATCCCTCTTCCACAGCTTTGTCAATAAATGACAGCAATGAATTGAAGTATCCATCAACATTTACTAATCCCACCTGCAAATTGTAGAGTGTCAAATCTAGTTAGGCTAATAGCACAGCACAGGTAACCTCCCCAGATGCAAATTAATTAATAATATAGGTGCGTATTTGGTTCAACTTATTTTTGAAAAATAATCACTTATTTTTTTATCACCTTACTAAGAAAACTTTTAAAAAATAAACAATTATTTTTTGTAAAAGTGATACCAAACAAGCACTAGACCCCAACAATATGGTTCATGTCAATTACCGGCTTGTCATGGATCCCAAGTTGAGCCCAGGTTATGACTTCAAGAAGCTCCTCTAGAGTCCCATAACCACCTGCATGTAACATCCATGATTGAGATGATGATTTAGAATTTTTTCTCACCCCACTTATATTGACTTCTATACCTTGGCAGTGGATAGAGAAACATTGAATTTATTTCAACAACTTGAGACTGTTTCACTGTTTGCTTTTAATTTCAACCATGTTGTCTTTTTCTCCACAAGTTTGGGATTTAACTATTCCATGTTGGGTGCATGAATGTAGTGTCTATACTATTTAGCACCCTTAGCTTGGTGGGAACGTTAAAAAAAATTCCATTATGGATGTTACAGCATGAAGTGAGAGGTCGTTAAGGACATGTATTGGTTTTTGTCTTCACACCCTCCCTCTTATTTACTCTTGGAACTTGAGGAATCCACTTTCATACAAGGGATCCCAAGATAGAGAGTGATTGACAACTTTGTCTTTGCGTGTCACTAATTTTCAGCACTCAATTACTCACAGAATGAACCCTACAAGAAATAAAAAAAGTCTTTGAAAAGGGTAAGGCATTATTCCATGTCAGGTAGGGGTGCTAGTTGGAAACGTTATCCTGTGACAGTTCTTCTTTTGCTTTTCTTTCCCTTCGCTATCAAATGCAAGAAGTTTGGTACAAAAACACGTCATGGTTCTAATGAAAGTAGAGGCGAAAATGGTATTCAACCAGAACCCCAGTTGCTCAGAGCCGCACAAGTTTTAAAATTTTAGCCACAGATGTTAAGGGCTCAGGGAGGTCTGAATCAGCTACTTCTGAAGGGTCGCTCTCTATTCATCACAGCATTGGGATATACTATTAATTATGAAAAAAAAAATCACAAAGTGGTTTGCAGCAGTGTCAAATTTAATTGAATAAAAATCTCACATTTGTTACTTGATTTGATACTCCTTAAAGTTATAAAATCACTGTCCACTTGTGCATACTCAAAGTAGATGACTAGTCCATGTTATTGTGCATAACTTCCAAATCATACATCGACAAGTACATACCAGTTAATACCCAGTCAACAGCGTTCATGATTAGGCGTGGTAAGCCTTTTAATGATTTTAAATTAACAGGGTTTAACAAGGAATAAAAAAGCCAGTTTGTTGAATGCTGAATAAAAAATAGCACAGGGAGATCAAAGGGAATATTATAGTTTAAACTATATTTAGTGATTTTTAATTAAAAGGGTTTTAACAAGGAATAGAAAAGCCAGTTTGTTGAATGCTGAATAAAAAAAGCACAGGGAGATCAAAGGGAATATTATAGTTTAAAATATTCTCAAAAGAATAAAACACTGAGATATGGTCAATGCTAAATGATAAAACTAGAAAGCTACAAGCACCTTGGTGTTTCCACTTTTTCTTATGCAACCAATATACTCAGTTCAGGCTAACCTGGTAAGGCAATAAAGGCATCTGAATGTTTGGCCATCTCTGCCTTCCTTTGGTGCATATCCGCTACAGCCTTTACTTCTCCCACTGTTTCACCAGTTAGCTGCAAAAGGTACCAATGCACAGGGGATGGAACAGAAAATGAGAAGATGAATAGCAAAGAGAGAAAAAGCAGCTAAGCAATTATGAGAGTTGAAGGGTTGGTAATTTGATGCTTAAAAAATTTATAAGGGAAGAGATTTAAACTAAAGCATTAGAAACGGAAAAGGAAAAAAAAATCTAGCCCAATAAAAGCCAATGAAGTAAAACAAAAGAAACTGCAAAGATCAGAACAGCTGAAAATAGAAAGATAGAATCATTTTACAAAGGAAAAACAGGTGTCCTAAAGAAATTTCAACAGAAAAAATGTGAAACACTAGGCTTTGAAATTGAAAAGAAGCTTATATGAACCTGGAGGCGATGAAGGCTTTACTGAAAATAATGATAAAGAACAACGAAAGACATAACCAGTGGGAATACAAGAATAGAATATAGAATCAATGGAAAAAGGGAAGAAACAAAACCAAAGTTCAACCCTTGACGAAGAAAAACAAATAAAATAAGAAGAAACAACTTCCAATACTTTCTTACTAAGAAGAAAGAAAAAGACTAAAAGCTTTTCTTCGGGCTGAAGCAGACATACCTCTCGAGGCATGAGCGTCTTGGGAATAACTCTGCAAGAGACAACAACATGACAAACATAGTGTCAATAGAGAAAGAGACCAACACAAACACAATTGGCTCTGATTTCTGATGCCGCTTTTACCCAACATCTTTGGGGGGGGGGGGGGGGGGGGAGAGAAAGAGAAAGAGAAATCTTTACCAAAAGAGAGAGAAAAGAGTGATACCCAATGACATGCCGACCACCATCATGAACAGCTTGTGAAACCAAACCCATTAAACCAATGCTTCCTCCTCCATACACCAGATCAATGTTCCTTGAGACCTTCACAAACCAACAACAACAATAATATAAACAACCTAGAAAGACTAGATAACATGATGTCAAAACTATAAAAGTAAAAATGATGATCCATTTGGAAACCAATAGCAATAGAACATGTTTTAACTGTTTGAAATCCAAAGGCTGAAAGTAAAAGGTAAAGGCACTGAAAATGATTCTCCAACGCTCAATCAACAAAGGGCACTTGTAGAGTCGGTACCAAGTATTCGGTTCAAGGCACTGAACTCCTTAGATAATGGCAAACAAAACTCAAGAAACAAAAAAATGGATACTTTCTAAGCTCAAAAAGGTGAAAGGAGCCATAGATGTCGTAACACATGAGTGAGAAAAACTGGGCACAGCTTTGATTGAGTGACCCTTTCCCAGAATGGTTTTGGACGTTTGAAAACTGCATATATTTTGCATTAAATAGATGTCACACAATAACTAAACCAAGAGAAGAAAGCACAGGTTCAAGGAAATCAATGTGAATTTCGATTTGCCGCAGGTTACAACTTACAAACATGTTACAAACACAACCAACTCACCCAGCTGAAATTCACTATGGAAGTGGAATATTCAAGACGTCATATTATAAAGTTTAACCATTTCCACCTAACCCATTAACTGAACTCATGTATATTGAAACAAGAAAAGCATGGCAGGAACAAAAAAACATTGAACCCCCAATAAAACAGAAAAAAAAAATGTGTTTTTTACATAGAAAAAGAAAAGAAGCATGAACATATACAATATACCAATTCATTGCCAAGCTCAATGGCAGCATCTTGATAGCTTCTCTTCTTGCCAGGGCTACTACCACAGAACACACAAACCCTCTTGAACTTTGACACCCTTATCTCACCGTGTGTCTCCATTTTTATTTATTTTGTTGTTGTAACAATTAGTATAAGCTAGCAAATGTTATGATATATGATATTGACACACACAATCACAATCACACAGTGTCACTGTGTGTTGCAATGCTTCAACAATTGAGCAGCTATTGTACTAAAGAAACCTTCTTTTGTGTGAGTTGTTGAAGAAATGATACATGTGTGAAGGGAAAATGATCAACTACACTACAGTCACTCGTTGCCTCGCTTTGCTTGCTTCACCACTACTCCTATTGTCTCAAAGGGGGTTTTATATAGGGAGAGCAGCATCAGCCATATTGGGCATCGCACGTGAGTAGTGCCTAAGTAGCACGCGCGGACTACTGTTGTTGCGGTCCCAACCTACGCCCCTTGTGTTCTGTTCCGCTTAATCAACATACTCGCAACATTCTTCCAATAACAAACACCGTTACATGTAATGTAATCATCACGTTTTTTTTTTATAAAACATTACCAACTGTGGCTTAATTGGACTTCTGAACAGTCTTAATTAATTATAATTTAAGAGTTCTTTTCTTGTCTTAAATAGTTGCAACGACATGTGTGTAATCTTGTTCAATTTAGTTCTTCAATGTTGTATACTTCATTATATTAGTCTTCTAATGGTTTTAATCATTAAATTAATCTATTAAACACTTTTTATCATAAATTTATTTTTTCGCTAAAGTAAATATAATAATATTTTATATTTATAAGGATTAATTTGACAGTAATTTTTAAAAATTAATTAGTGACAAGTTAATAAAAAATAATTGAATGATCTGATTTTTTTTAATGATAACAAGTTTTAAAAGGTTAATTTGTTACCCTTGATACTTTTTTCCTTTTATCTCTTTATCTTTGTTTTTTTTTTTAATTACACGTACATTTTTATTTTTTGGGTCACATACCTTTCCTATTTGAAAAGTTATACTTTATATTATATACAAATTCCTAATCAATAAGTGATAGATAACAAATGTTACCTTTAAGAGAGGTTAATGTAACCCTTCACGTAGGAGTGAACCTTTATAGTGACCGGGAAGAGGGGCCATGGCTCCCTAATCTATTTTCAAAAGGTATGTGTGTAAGAAATTAATAAAGTGAGAGTATCTGATTACTGTTAAAAACAAAAATAATATTAATTAAATTTATTTAAAGGTCTGACATTATAAATAAATTTTTTTTAAAGTAATTATGTGATTATTATTTAACTTTTAATTTTCATTATTCATGTATGATTAAGACTAAAGTAATTTTAAATTATATGATCAATTGAAAATATCATATAATTTTTTTAAACAAATCACATTACTCATATATTTTAATCATGGTGATTCGTAATCATGTTCAATAATTAAGATTTATTCTTTCATTAATGTTAAAACATATTTGCATTTGATACGTTTCCATACATATCAATATAGTTATTTAAATGTTGTCTACATTTCTGACAATGGGCCCAAGTAATTCCTTGAAGCTATTCGTAGATGATTCATTCAATTTAGGGATAATTTTGTTTGTTTAATTATTTATTATTAAATTTGTAAAATACATTTCTTTCTTTTAAGCTTATTAGAGAAGCTTCATCTTCTTTTATATATTTTTTTTATAATCACGACATTTATTAAGTTGTCCTCTTCTAAAGTGTTGAGGGCATAGACTTTGTTAAAAATATTAAGTTTGTTTGAGACCACATCATAAATATCATACTATCTCACAAATTATGGTCAACTTTAAGTTTATTGTATTTTAAATTATAAACATATATAATACAATGTTAAATATTTTTTTTACGTTAAATTTTATTTTGGCCTTTCTAAACTCTTCAATCAAGTTCTGCGCCTGCCTTTTAATGTATCACCAATCTTTAACATTATATATGACTTTCAACCACTAAAGTTACAAATTACCTATTCAAATCGTTTGTTGCATGTAATGAATTAAATTAAAAAAAAAGAGTTTTTAATTTATAAAGAAGTTTTATTTAATTTTGATGCTAATTTTGTTAAAAAATTGTATGGAAGTTTACTTAATAATGAGAGTTGCTTTAGTGACATGTGAGAGAATACTAGGAAATAGCCAACACATGTAGACATAAATTGAAATGGTGCTAATAATTCCACCATCTAAAGACATATAATTGGGGCGGTGATATTAATGGGAAAGAGGGGAATTGGGGCTTATCCAAGAAAATAAGTTGTCACGGCCAGTCACTAGCCATAATAGTGGCAATTATGTGTGCAAGTGCAACACTGCCAATTTGGTTCCCATCTCTTCCCTTCCCACTTGATCCGTTTCGTATTGGTCCTTTACCCAAAAGTGTTTAACAAATCACACAAAAAGGTTTCTATCTAGAAGAGGACTTCGTCACTAACCAAATCATTCATCCATTACTTTCCAACCAACCAAACTATACATACTTAGCCAAAGAGAACCCCCAAGAAAACCACCATAAAAGGAAAACAAAAAAATTCAAATAAAACCCATAAATTTGTTATTTTAAATCTGTGAATGCGAATGGGCAATCCTGACAATTATTTTATTTTATTTGTGTCGCAAAAAATTTGTTTGTGCTGAACAAGTTATGGGTAATAGCAGAAGCTACTTAAGATGGTGGTGTAGTGCTGTTGAGCAATGTGCATTGATGATCGAATAAGAAAACATTAGTGGGTAGTGCCCTATAGCTCTTGTGCCCTCATCCACCCTACCTTACTCGACACACATGTTATACTCATAGGAAACATTTTATTTTTATTTCACACGCTCTCTTCCATTACCCATATCCTCTCCTCCACAACTCTTACAACCCATCCTCACTCTCATTCATTTCATGCCCTCTTTCTCCACCTATCAAATTCCGTATTTTTTTAAGCCATTCTTACATTCTAAACCATTCTCTTTTAAACTGACTGATGAGATTTTATGTATTAAAAGTTAAATAGAAAACAATATAATCTCTAGAAGAAGTTGCTTAATCCATAAAATATTTTACCCTATTCATATGCATTACTTAATTGATGACACATATTGTTTATATATAGCTGTTTTGTCAGGATTGCAGCAACTGAACCCATGCCTTTATGTTATTTAATATAGTTATATAATGTTGGTTTTCTAGCTCCAATCCCAAGGGTGCTGGTTCTGGCTTTCATGTTTTAGTTTTTATTAACATCTACGTTTGTCTACTTCTTGCCCTCTCACGTGTTTAGAGATTATAAACTCATAATCACTTCTTCGTGATGGGGATTGAGCTTATGTCTACAAAAATTCTTGTGAACTTCCAGCATGCTTGCATGCGCGTTTAATAGCATATTTTTGTGTGTTTGTGATTTTTCAAATACATATACATGATTAACCTTGAGGCACAGTATATAAAAGAATACAGAGTTCGAAATTACCGTCAAACTGAGCCTAATTCATTGATGCTGATAGTAATTCAAGGCACAACACCACGGATTTTCTAAACTTTTCTTCAGGGTTCACGAATTTTAAGGTTTTGGTCTACTTGTATAAATACGTTATATGTTAGGTGTTAAATTTATTAGACTTACAAAAACAGAGGACTTAATCAATGGCGGATCTTAAAATATTGATAAACAATGTTTTCTTTTGTTGAATTGTCAATATTATTTAATTAGAAAAAACAATAAACTGGAATTATAAAACTAAAAACTGATGCAGACCAAACAAACAAAAATATTTGTTTTTCTAAAGAAAGCTCTCATTTTGTGGGTGGGATCTATCGAATCAATTTAATTTTAATACATTGTTACTATAATAAATATTACACTGTCAATAAAAATTATATATTATAGGTCTAATTTTATATTAATTGATTCAATATTAATAAATTTTATTTTTATGATAATTTATGATTGAATAATAATATAAAAATATTTTATTTTATTTTAATTAATTTATGTATAATTGGAGTCATTCATTACATCATTCGGTTAATCTTAGAATAAATTTATTTAGACAGTCTATAAATATTTTACATTGATAATATACTAAAATTTAACTCAAAAGTATAAAATATTTTTATACTGTTAATTAATTATAAATTATTATACCATCATCAATATAATTTTTTAAAATAATATATAATTGGAAATAATGTAATTTCTTTTATATTATCACAGTATTTTAATTAAATTTTCATTTTAAAAGTTAAATATAATATATTATAATTATAATTAGTATAATGATCTCTTAACTGTTAATTTTGTCACTTGATCTTCTAATTTTATTTTATTTTTATTAAAAGCGTTAATTTCGTTAAAAAAAAATTAATGTTTATCTTTTTTTTAAAACTCTAACAAAAACACACTATATCTCAAAGAAGTTTTTTTACTTTTTTTTCTCTTTTTCTCTTTCTTTATTCTTTTTTTTTTTTTTCTTCATTCTCTTAGCTCTCATCTACATTTTCATAACATGTTTCTCTTTCTCTCTGTCTCTCTTTCTCTAGGAAACTTCCACAAAGACATAATACATTTCAATCTTCTTCTTTTTTTGTCTTTTTATCTCTTACCTCTTATTCATACTTTTGCAATCTATATTTTTTTGTGAATTCTGATTAAAACACATATTTTGACAAGTATGAAGGTGTTTTTTTTTTTTAATCACCAGCACTTTTTTCTTATATTGATACTTCAACTATTAATTTTATTGTAATACAAGAAAATAAAATTTTAACTAAGAGAGTATTCAGAAAAAAAAATATAAGTCAAAAAAGTATAGATAAAGGACAAAAGAAAAAAGAAAATAAGTAAAAAAATGATATTTTAAAGAGGAAAAAAATCATAAGAAATTTTGTCTTATTAATACAGCATTAATAGCTTATTTATAATTATACTTGTGTCATCATTGTAGTTTCATTCTTTGTCTTTTTTTACGATCTCAAAATTTAACCAAAAAATTAAATAAAATGCGTTGTGTTTTTGTTAAAGTTTTTGGAAAGAATAAAAATGAGTTATTGAAATATAAATGAGTACTAAAAGAAGAAAGAAATAAAGAAGAAGAAATAAAATTGTCAAAATATATTATATTTTTATAAGAGTTTATAAAAATGAAGAAAATAAATATTTATAGATTAACATCTCAAATAAAAAAAAATTAGTTTAAAAATTTTGTAAATTAATGATCCAATATAGGGAAAAAATTAAAAAAATTAAGAGTTATTAGAGGAATCTATTAATTTTATCTATATTACATAACCAATTAACAATATAAAAC